TACCACAGAGAACGAAAGAAAGGACACTGACTGCAAAATGAAGCTGTTGTGTGATGTGAATGACATGCCAGCTGGGTTTTCCCCACCGTGTATTAAAAAGGAAGCTGTGAAAAACATATTTACACATATTCTCCATCATACATAAAGAAGAAACAATCTCTTCATCAAAGGCACATCACTGACCAAAAGTGACCCCCAGGAGCCCTAAAAGCCCCATGTGTAACAGTAAATTCATTGCAATTTTTGAAGGAGCCCTGAAGTACAATATCAAGCCAATTCATCCACAGAATCAATCAGTATCAAATTTATGCAAATGTTTTCCAGGCAATACTAATCTCTTTTGCTTGAAAGCACTTAAAAACAATGGAAGAGAGGAGACCGATTCAGGGAGTAACACCCCGACTGTGAGAGGGCTGGAGGGGTTAAAGGTCGCAGGGGTTAGGGATCATTAAGGGCATCTGTGGGCTGACAGGCTGACGTGAAGCTACGAGCAAACAGCAGGACAGAAAATACAAGTTTGACAATTTAAGTGAAATTGAAGTTTGCATGGTTTATGATAGCACAGCCCTTGCTTTTGTGTTGTGTGTGGTGGTGTGTGTGTGTGTGTTGTGTGATCGTGTTTGGGGTGTGTGTGTGTGTATGGTGTGTGTGTGTGTGTGTGTGTGGTGTGCATCTCTCTCACAGCATGAATTGTGCGAGACCGGGCAGCAGGCAGAAACAGTCAGCTGTAGTTCTTTGTCTCTGGCTCGTATAAACACTAATCCTATCTGGAATCTGAGATTGTTAGAGACAGAGTGGCACCGAGGGAAACGAGACGGAAAAAATAAACAAGGTCGAGAGAGGATTCGAAGAAAAAAGGAAGTGGCATGTCCCTTAATTATTCTGAGAAAGTCTTGCTTATTAACACTGAGTGAAACTGCACTATTCATCTTATAACATTCAGATTTATACTTTATACTTGAAGAATTCAACTTCAGGACTGTTTTTCAAGATAAATCGTTCTTTTAAAAAAAGTATAATTCAATGTTTTATTTGGTCTGCCATAAGGCCAAAATCATTGTAAATCATCAATAAGCTTTGTTTATATATGTTAAACTTGAATATTATGTGGCAACAGAATGTTTTTAAGGAGGCGATGGCAAGAAATAATTAGTTAAATCACCAACAGTGATTCATCTATTTGGCAAATAAGCGGTGGTAGAAAGTAACTAATTTCTTTAAGCTTCCTTAAGTACTGGAGAAAATTTTAATGGGATCTTCTCAGGATGGACTTTTTGGTAACTTTGAGTAATTATAATTTTTGTCTTTTAAACCAAGGTAAATTGTTTGAATGCAGGCACTTCATAGCTTGTAACAGAGTATTTATCCTACCACTGTGGTATTTGCTTTTACTTTAAGTAAGAGCTGAGTAGGTCTAGTCTTCGCACGCAACTATTGATCGGCCCGATATGTGCAACCATTATTGAAATTGGTATTATCTGTATAATTGTCGATTCCGATCCCAGTAATATTTCAGTACAGACATGTCAAGGAGTATTGTCTGAGGTCATTTTAGAAACCATTGGTTTTCATCATATTTGTTTTTGTTTAGAATATCAGCAGTTTTAACCCATCTAACTGAGGCATATGTTGTGGTGAAAGTATTCTCTGTCTTATAAAACATGTCTGAGGTGATCCTTATCAAATGTTTGTATATGTTCTATTTTTTATTGATGAAAAAAAAGAATAGAAGCCTAATATTATATGTAGTAGGATTTTATTGTTTACTCTAAAATTCGCATTGGTTTCTATAATTTGCAAATTACAGTTTACAGTTAACTTTTAAATCCATCCATTCAAAAGAATTAAATCCTGTCAACTAACGAATATTGAACAAACCATAACTTTTGACGTACTTTTTTCAATGCCCAGTCCATAAAAATAAGATAAATACTGCCCCATATAAACCAGAGAAATACTGTATCAGTCTACCATCCCACATCTATTACTCCACTATCATTACTCCCAAACATCATACTCCACACGTAACATCGCTTCTAACCTCTGTTGGAGGAAAGGGCAACACCGACTGTTTTGAGCTGTGAGGCCTTTCAAAATGCTGCCTCCTGGGCACATCTACACATGGGCTCTACGATCCCTCCTGTGTGTGTGTGTGTGTTGTGTGTGTGTGTGTGTGTGTTTGTGTGTGTGTGTGTGTGTGTGTCGTGTGTGTCGTGTGTGTTGCATGCCACATCTCAGAATGCAGAGTGGGTGAAAGGGCCTGGCCCCACATTCACTAGAGGCTGCAAAAAGTTGGGGATGGAGAGCAAAGTGATTGATGGTTGAGGGAAGAGCAGCCGAAAAGACTCGTCCCTGAAACAGGTGGATGAACCAGAACTGATGTCACCGAGGTCATTGAGCAGAGTAAGGCCTGCAGGTGAAGATGAACAGCTGTCCAGTCCAAACCAAGTCAACAGAGGAGGAGGCCATTTTAATGTTTTACTGAAAAAAACATATTAGGACACCCCAGAACTAAAATGAACTAAAACACGAGGTTCAAAGATGATTTCTGGAAACATCAGTAGAGAAAACAATCCCACCACAAGCTCCATTTAGTAGCTGCTGCAGGCTTTTGATCACTATGCATGATCTTCATCAGCATCAGGATTTTGCCCAGTTGTGGTGGAAGACTATGTGACTTTTGAAAGAAAGGACACAATCTTCCTCTTATAAGTCAAAAGTTGAATTCAAAAGCAATAAATTATATTCAGGGTTTTGCTGCTTACAGCCAAACTTGATGTTTAACTTTAAAAGAGATATTACTATGTAAATTACATTACTTCATCATCTCATTACCTCTATGAGAGATAAACATTTTAGCCGTCTTGTAGGAAAGTGAAACAAAAAATAAATACGTCTTGGCAGATTGTGAAATGTAACTGGAGAGCTTGTGGCTGCTGTTTAGCAACAGTTACATTGCCCCAGTTTAAGGACTCTTACGTGTTTGTTTAAAAGTTAGGAGCTCTTCAAAACAGCCAGTAAATGGACCTTTGGGGTCAAGAGTGAACACTGTACCTCTGATTTATAGCCAACATGAAGTGCTAAAAAAAATATATTTGAAGAGCTACAACGGGTCAACTCAATCTGCTGATGAAGCACATGATCCGCGTGATCCAATCAAAAGCTCCAGAAAAGCTATTAAACTGACCTTGTAGTGAGATTTCTCAACCAACAAAAACAGGTAAAAATTCAACAGAAACAAATGAGAAGTCACAAAACTAAGGGGAAAACAGGTTGCTCAAGACAGTTTTCAGAGGTTAAGGATAATTATGTTTAATGATAATTATGTTTATAAAAATAAACAGCGTCTCCTCCCTTTTAATGATATAAATGTGTCTTCTACAAGCTCTCTGCATTTCTGCTAACTGCTTCCTCAGGGGGCATTATTTCTCCAGGGTAACAACTCCCTGCTGTGACTGTAAACAATATCATAATGGACATAAATTGTTCTCAAATAGGTCAACGAGGAGAGTCAGTGAGATGTACACAGTCATGCACAATTAAAATGATGACGATGCACACAACCTCAGCCATTTGCATTAACATCCCACGATGAAGCTCAACGCTGATCACGACACGTTTCACTCCGGACTTTCCTGTACAAACCACCCAAACACCATTTCCTCCGAGGGTCAGGAGCTCATCTTGATTCAACAGTGATATGGATCTTAATTATCCCGCAGAGAGCAGCCAAGGCCCCACATTTCCCAGTCACTCTCTGGGCAGGCAACAAATCACCACTGGGAGGCCTGGCCTAGATTCTAAAATGTGGGCCAAGGTTGCTGTTCTGACCTTTGCCCCACATGAGCCGGGTGAGCTCAGAAGAAGATATTTTTCACAAGAAGCCCCGCAAATACAGTAAGAGCTGTTTAAATTTCTGTTGAACCATAAGTTGTGCGTCAGCAAAACAAAAGGTTGGATTCAGATGAAAAGACTTGTCAAAGTGACTGCCAACAGCCACAACTGTGCCAGATCTTTGTTTTATGACACAAGAGAAAGTCCCACATCCAACAATGGTGGGTCTTAACATTAGTCACAGCCACCATCAAAAATCAACAGAAAATACAAATGTTTCCTTGTAGAATACTTTCAGTCTGTAGGCCTGAAAATGAAGAGGAAAAGGAAGTTTATGGGGGAAGAGGGGAGGTTATTAGCTGGTGGAATAGCTCACCACTCTGCCACCTGTCATTGGGGGCTGCAAACAGGTGTTTCTACGTTTTATTTCTGATTTAAAAACAAAACAAAACAAAAAAAAACTACCGGGTTTAACACATTGTCATCTTCTTCACAGTGACCATCATTCCCAGTATGTATCAGTACAGCTCCTCACTCCATCAGCAGCGCTAATAAGAGTGGGAGCAACGATCCAACACACTGGATCATTATCAGTGTCAATACTGAACTTATAAAACGAGTCCAGCATCGGCCCGTTTCTTTGCGATGTTACATAAAACTATTACAATTAAGTATAGAGATATTACATATGGGGGAACAGATACCACTGATATCAGATCAGTGCTTGAGTTGAGTTTAAATATCAAAATTGAATAAGCTGAAATAAGCTTCAGTACTTCTTTTTCTTGTTTCTGTTCATTTATATTCCGTCTAAGATACACCAGGACATGATTTATTAGAGTAGAGACACAGTCTTACAGTTCCTTGTTAGGAAATTAAAAAGGAGTTTTTTAAAATTAACCCAAGATTAAACTGGTGTCTAAAATCTCTCACCACAAGGCTCCAACTTGGGCTTTTACATTCGGAGACTTGGCAGCACAAAAATATAAAAAGGTGTTTTTAAAAATCTTTTAGAAGTCTTTTATATTCAATTAATATTTTATATTATAAGATTACCTGCTATTAATATGGATCTAAAGAGTGAAAATAGATACAGCTCTCATCTCAAAAACTATAACTAACATACTAGAAACTCCTCGTGACCACAGGCAGACAAAACATTTAAATGAATTACGATGATTTATTAAACATGTTTAAAAATGTAAAAATGTGGTGAACCACTCACATACAAAGATGGGAATAAAAGACAAATGTTACAAGAATATAAAGCAAAAATAAGACATCCAAACATTTACAACAAGACTGTACAATATACACACAAATCTGATTTTAAAAACATGGACAAAGTTCTTGTTCTGGTGACTCTGTATGTTTCTGATGGGACCGATTTATCTCAGTCCCATCTAACATAAAGACGTTAACAGAAGCAGCACAGGTCAAGACTCAAACCAAGAACTCCATCTTAAAACTCATGCTCACATTTCCTCTCACGACAGGAGGGTGATGAGTGCGTCTAGAAACTTGCTCCTGTCCTCCGTCTTCAGCTCAATTACTGCAGAGGGAAAAACACCAGTAAGAATCAATAAGTGCACAAAGGAACACAGTTGTAAGCCAGCCAAGTGTTTTCTTTGGAGAGGTTCTCTGCATGTAACTTCTGAACAAAACAACACATCATGTATCTCAGGACTGGCGGTAGTTTGGATAAATGTTTCACACATGAAGGTGTAGAAACACTCAACAAGCCTCATTCTACATTTGAAACATAAATGATGTGAAGTTACAGCAGGTAGTGACAAAAAACATGATGATGAGATTGGATGATTGAAGCGGCACTAGAAATGAAGACAAGGCTGCCACCTGGTGTCTAATAAGGAGATGGACAGCTCCCTATATAAAACATCACTGAGGACTTGGATGCAGCACAATAATAAATGACAATATCACTTACTTGAAGTGTCAAAGTGGTCATGAAGAGTTCTGGAGCTGGTGCTCTCTGCAGCTTTCTCGAATGCTCGACCAAAGAAACTGCAGAGTACAGGGAAAAAGGACAGGAGTTGAGGAAATAGGGCATTTTTTATGTATACTGTACAAAACATACGTTACAGCTGTCAATCAACAGAAAATTAATCCAACTATTTTGATGATCAGTTCATGGTTTCACTAATTTTCAAGTAAAAACACCAAACATTCTCTGGTGTCAACTTCTCCAATGCTTCTTCTATATTTGATATGATTGTAAATTCACTATCTTTCAAAACAAGCAGTCTGAAGGAAGTCACATTGGAACTTATTGAGACACACCCCATCAGTTCTTTATACTATTGGCAAACAAAAGAAATAGTAATTTTGTTCTGCAGTTATTGAAGTCTAAGGAAAGGGAAATGAGATGTTTGTCAATTTGAAACAGATTAAATCAGCAAAAGCATCACATAACATGGCAAGAGCATGTACTCATTGGGAAGTCTGCAGAGTCAACAGCAAGAACTACAGCAGATAGGGGACATTTGACTGTATAGTCCAAATTCATATTTTACACTAAGATTAATGATAAAAACAGCTTGGTTAAAATAGTGTATTGTATTTTTATTAATCAAGTATATTCTTAGCTTGGCTCATATTTTTTTTAATTATACCCCAGACATCTACAAATAAAAAAGCGAGGTCTTACTTCTTCTTGTCAGATGTTTCAGACTCAGGTGGGATTCCCACAACAATGACTGTCCCCTTCTCCACATCCTTGGGCGCAGCCATGATGAGGGGAAGCAGTTTGCAGCGCTTATTCCTCGTCTAACCGACAAAAACAAACCAAGCAAACAGTCAGCAGAAGCCAAAGTCACACAGGACACACGCAACGGAAAGAGTGACAACAGAGTGTTTTCAGTTTAAGTAAAAGCTTCTTCTTTCACAATAAGATACTTACAGAATGGACAAAAGCCTTCAGGAGGTACTTGCAGAGCAGAGTCAAGGCCATGGGCTTAGAAAAGAGCTTCACATCAGGTGTTCCCTACACATGAAAGAGCAGGAAAGAACTGAGCTGAGCAGGATATACGGTTAAGAATCAACCACACAAATTTGCACACAGACATCCGTACCTCCATGAGGTAGCAGTAGAGGAAGGGTCCCTGGGACAGGATGAGGTTGGTACAGATGCAGCTTGCTACAGTCTGCTGGACGGCTATAAGCTTCTTCTTAGCCAGGTCAATGCCTGAATGTAGACGATCAAGGTTGCTCCTACACAGAAAGTAAACTTCACACTGTAATCGGATCTTAAACAGACATTTTATAGCTTTAAAGAGCAACTGTATTCTGGTCAATGAACTAACAATACGTTTCTGCAACACACCTGGAAAGAGAGTCCAGAGCCTTGATGAAGTTGTCACTGTCGCTCTCATCTTTCTCAGTGCTCTCCAGCAAGGCAGCAGTAGCATGCACCATGTCACTGGCCAGGAAGCGGTTCTTAAAGCCAAAGTGAACCCCAAATGTCTGGATGCGGATGTCCTTCATACTGGTTGAGGGGGAAAAAAAAGACATTTTAGATTGTCTGTCCATAAATTCCTCCGAATGTAACAGCAGCTGAAGCTCTTTCTTCTTTAAAGTTATTTCTAGATTCATACCCGTATTTATTGGAAGACTCCTCAATGACCTCCCTTAGGTTCTCTTTGATTGACATTTCCATGGAGTGGAATTTCTGCCTCACTTGCTTCAGAGGTAGCCTGTTAAGGTAAATTAAGTAAGTAATCTCTATTTTAAATCACTGGCTCATGTTGAATTTCATTTAATAAAATTAGTAGTTTTGGTTGATAAATGTTTCACTGTTAACACACAGAAAGCATTGATTTTTGGTCACTTACCCCATGTCAGCTAGGAACTCCTGGAGTTTCTTTTGGCCGTTTAATGTCCAAAGCTTAAAGTGGCATGATGTGTAACAGGAATTACAGATGCTCTCATACAGGGACCAGTGCTGGTAGAGGGTTAGACGGAGGCTGAAGAAGAGGGTTGAGGAAAAGTCAAAGGGAAAAAGAGCTACACAGTCAGTATGAGTGATTCCTTCCACTATGATACTTGAACATATGTGGAAAAGCTGGGATATAAAAGACCCATGACGACAACATGCCAGGTGAATAAAGGATACTCGTATTCAAAGGAGATCCTCATACAGTCGATGGAGAGAGAGTTCTCCTCGTCCTCGTTCCGGTGGTTATGCCGGGAAACGTGTCGCTGCATTGTGGCGATGTCTGTTACATACTTCATACTAAAAGGAGCAAAGCAGACAAGAATAATGAAGAGTGGATAAACAACTGAATGCAAACATGCAGTAAACATAACTTATGTATCCAATAATGAAGCAAAAACCGATGACTACTACAGAAGTGAGCACCGCTGTTCATGTTTTTGAGAAATATGCTTAGAAATATAGAAGACAGTCTTACTGTGTGATTTTATCATGAACCCACTGGTCCGTCAGCCCAATGACAGCCCACCTGCACAGGAAAAAGAACTCAACATCTAAATGTCTTTACAGTAAGTGTACTGTGCATTTCCACAATGGTTAAGTCATTAAAAAAAGAAAGATTTGATCAAATAGCTTACCAGAGCATGTCCTTGGTGTCTTTGGTCAACACCCAAGCCAGCTCAAAAAACATCATTGCAGCCTGAAAACAGACACATGAAACAATATGTGACTATGCACACTGGACTATATACTGTGTATATAATGTAGGTATAGAAATCTTCTCACAATTTAACAAGTTTGTCAAAGTTTAACATGCAAATCAAGTAGAATTTTCCATCCTCATCTGCGGTTATCGGAACTCAAAAATAAAAATAAAATAGTAAGAGTCTACTCACAGAAGTCCCATGATATTCATACTGCTCATAGTCGAACAGGATTTCTCTCCTGAAAAATTTGTGAAACACGAGTGTCAGTTTAGAAATTGTAACGTCTATGACAAACACCATCCCTATACTTCCTTTAAAAACACTTCACCTTCGGGCCTCCCACTCCCTCTTCGCTCGCTGTCTTTCGATTCTCCTCTCAACTGCCCCCTGCGATGACATGATACATGGACACACAATCATTAGAGTCGAATCAACCCCGTTCAGATCAATATCGGTGGTGCATTCTCATTCTGTTCAATACGTACTTCATCAAATCTCCTTCGTTTCCCAGACGGCTCTGAGCCTTCATCGCTCTCATTTCCAGAATCACCTCCTTCCTCATCATCCTCATCTCGAAAGATATCATCGTACGAGGGCACACCGAGGTCACCATCCTGTTTGATTAGTAGCTTTATCTGTGGATGAGGTGACAGCAGTGTACACAATGTTACACTCCAGAAGTGTGAGAGTGAGTGAGAGAGTGAGAGAGTGAGAGAGAGAACCACAGCTCAACTGATGATAATCAATCACCTGGGTGTCATTGTAGACATTGACCACATCTACAGGGCGGTGAGTGTCACAGATGAAGAAGATGGAGTCGTCATCCGGCTGCAGCATCTCAAGGAGGTCAACATTTGCCCCGCAGTTGATGAGAACAAAGTACCGGAACTACAACACACCATAAACCAAAAATAATACATTTAGCCTCAACAGTTCAACCTTGCTTATCTTTCTGTCATTGAGTCAAGTGTAAGCTCAGATCGTACCTGCTCTTTGTGCTCAAGGAAGGCAGTGCCAAGGTCCTGCCAGCCAGTGACAGGCACAAGTGTGTACTGGACCTGGTCACAGTGGAACAACGCCTGGTAAAGAGACAAAAAGAGACAAAAAGATTGAGCTATTATTGTTTAATCCCCTAATTCATCATTAGCCCTTTCACTGGCAAGGACACAGGAACACTGAATCTTGAGCCAATGTCACTGGAAACAAAGCTCATAGGAAACTTTATAGACTAATCTGAACGTATAATCAGCATTTCATGTAATGTGGTAGGGCTGCTCAACATGGTTAAAACTTCATATTGCGATTATTTGGAGAGATATTGGGATATGATTAACGATTAATGATAATCATTTTTGTATCACAAATTTAATTTTAACTGAAAACGATTAAAATCCTGATAATGTGACATTTTTGGGGGTCTGTACCAAACAAACATGTTTTCTTCAATCTGGAAACAAGATTGTAGGCGAGGTCATCTCTTCAGTACCATAGTACTTTATTATAATGCTGTCACACATTATAGCTTTATCAAACAATTGCAGCTATTATTATAGGATACATAGGATCGGATAGTGGCCCAAAAAGATCTGATTCCAGGTGATTTGTGCTGTTCACACTGTCATGAAAACAACAATATCAGTCACATATGAGCAGAAAACATCCGATCGGGGCCACTTGGAAACATACACTAAGAAATGTGTTTACACAAGATATAAATACAATAATAAAATTGTATGACCATAATAACTGGGGGAACTAAATGACTCAACAACAGATCATGTAGTCGGTGCACATAAACACTATACAGGACTTAAATAACTAACTACAGCAGAACTAAAGCCTGGTATTTATTCATAAAGTCAAAGCTTACTTCTAGAGCAGGATACATAATGATAATATATGTAATTTGAAGTGTTTTAGAGATGATTAAAGTCAACACTAGCTTCGTGAGTGTGCAGGGAGCTACTGTGTGCTCAGTTAGCTGTTATCTTACCTGTAGTATCTTACAGGCGCAGAGAGCATCGATGTCTGCTGCCACCAGGAGGGCGACTCTCTGAAAGCAGAAACACCGTGTTTAGTCCAGTATCACCTCACACAATCAATCAGTCAGTCCTCTACCAGTGTTAGCAGAGCGCCCAGCGACGGTGGGTGAACCGAGCTAACCCAGCAGTGTCACAGTGAGCACTCACCTGGTGGGCGACGACTTCATAAAACTCCTTTCTTATGTCCGCGATGAACATCTTCACTAGTGTCGGATAAAAACGTTTTTTTTTTAAGGAAAGAGGAGACGACGCCGATGAACCCGCGTTAAAGTGGCACCAGCAGCGGGTTATTGTGGTCTCCTGTCAGGGGCTCGGTGCTGCGGTAGCTCCTCTGTTCCTTGTTGGAAATGTGGCGCCAAATCTGCACGTCACAGTCCAACCAATCAGTGGGAGGGGATATACGGACGTCACACGCTCGAGGCCACGCCCCCCCGCCTTGAGGAACCAGAGGGACAGCAGTTTATATACTTTAGTTTGTAGTTTATATAGTTTATACAAAGTCCTGCTGAGTGAGGTTTTATAAAGTAGTATGTGGAGTCTGGTACAGAAACTATATTTCTGCTGCTTTATATCTTTACTTAACAATACTCAACGACAGCTCAGAGGAAAATACTGGACTTTTTACTCCACTGCTACTATTTATTTGATCCGATTTAGATCAATAATACAAAATATAAATCAACTAATAAATTATAATATATTAATATTATTATTATTACATGTTAAACTATGCAGGATTTTATAATGTAATTCAAATCTGCCTGTGCACATTTTGTGTTGTGCACATTAATGCATCACTGATAATAATCCAGTAATATAATATTCTGACATGGGCCGTATTGCATAATGTGTACTTTTAAGTATACTTTGAATACTTGTATATATATGTACTTTTTAAGTATTGCTAGTTTAACTCAAATATAATATCTCATATCCACCACTGCCTACTCCTGAATGGGAGAGCTGAAGGAACGCACAGTCAGGGCTATAGCAAACTATTATAAATGCGGAGGTCATAAGTCAGCATTTAAACTATAAATTAGGGAGATCACATTTATATAAAATACAGTTAAATTAATAAAGACAATTTTAGACACAAATTCCTTACAAATAAACTAATTTCTCATATCCTGGCTGCAACCACAACCGATTGTGACGTTCCTTCAACCCTCCTAATTTAATCAAGATTAAGGGCTTCTATATTGTTGCGCATTATTGTACAGTATTGTATATAAAGCAATAGCTAGAAATGTCAAAGTGAAATAAGCACATCTTTGTTGCTGTATCCTGTTATTAATTCCTTTCCTCACCTTTCAACATATTCTTTACTTTAAAGTTCAGATAATGCCTGTAACCATCACACACACTCTAAGCAGAGAGAGAAAATAAGCAGCGGACAGGGTGTGTATTGCAAGATTATTTAGAAACATCATTTAGTGTCACCAAAAGAGTCATTAAAAGCATCACAACATGTACAATCAGGATACTGTATCAGCATGATAGCGGCTGCTATGTGCTCCTACAAGCCAAGGCAAATGTATGATGAGCACAACATAAATAAAGCAAACAGGCAAGTTTTAATATACGTCATGACAGAAGATCTAATGGAGACCAGACACAATCACCAACCCGATACAGTATACATGTGCTGAAAATCACATAAATAAATAGAAACGGATGAAAATGTGAGGGTTTGGAAGGAAATAATGAAGAAAATATGTTGCTCTTCAGCTCAAAACATGCAGGATTTTATCAAAATGCAGCAGAGTCCCATTCATTTTTTTTTATCCCCCAGAAGCCCATGTGCCCACAAATATGATTCCTATTTTAATGACATAACATTAATCACATTTAAGGTAAACAAACAAATATTCAAAATTCAAGTAAAGTCCTACATGCCCCAAAAGTAAATACACTTAGACCTGTACATCATCTCATAAATACCTGTAAGATTGAGTACATTAAGAATTCTCTCAAAGGTTTGTAAAAAGTAAAGTTGGCTACTCTTTCAGTTGTAAATTTAACATGTTTCCACCTAGAAATCTTCACATTTGACTCCATCAGCAACAGAGGTAAAGAAAGGCAGCATGCCACGTTTAAACATCATGTAGTATCTTCTCACCTGAAACCTATACACTGTAAAACAATAAAAAAAACAAAGTTGTGTAAACGACATGACAGAGAGCATACACTGTTACATGCAGTATATACTTCATTCATTAATTAAAGAGTATTAAAGTAATATAGTAAACAAAGGCACAAATTCATCTGTTTTTTTCTACCGAGTTTGGTCTGAAACCACTGTGATCCACCTGCTTTAAGCTCGACTCACAGCGCAAAAGTGCTTTGACCCTGCAAACCTTTGGCTGGTTTCACACACAAACAAAAACATAAAAAGTTTGGTTGTTTTTAGTGTTTTCAACTTGCAAACAACAGTCACATCCACATAATAGTTGACGTTCTTTCCAATTGAAAACCAACCTTACAAACATTAACAAAAAGATAAAACAGGAAAAAAAAAGGAAACAAATAAAAATCATAACCGGACCACAGAAGGTAGCGTTCACAGTCTTAAATGAAAGTCGATGAAAACTACCAGAAAAAAACCCCAAAAACAAACGTTTCCAACAAACTTTGCGTGCCAATAAAACTATTAACAGGATAGAAAACCTGACCAGCAGGAGCACTGGGAGGTTAGCACCATCATCTGGAGAGGTTACAGTCTGATCTGTCACTCCCACAACCAACCCCCTGTACACCACGTCTCTCCTCCTTCCACCTCTCTGGTGAACGTTCACACTTTAGACGGGTCGGCAGAGGAGCCAGCAGAGTGTGCAGTAACAAAAACCAGACCTACAGTAAGCCTGAGACCACTGATGTAGGAAAACATTTATCTCACTTTTACAGTCACATTAACTTGTGATGTTAGCAGATGTGCTGTGGAGCAAACAACTATGAGAGGAGATGTGTGGAACTGCTACATCGAGGCGTTATACTGAAGATTGGGCATATGAACCCTTTTCCAGAATATATTATTCAAGCAATCTGTGAATGGAAACATTCAAAATATAATATAGGAAGACAGAGAGATTTAAAGCACTCGAGACAGAGGCAGTAGAGCAGAACCGTGTAGATCAAACAGAGAAGTGGTTTTACACTTGAAGGAAACCAAAGAGGTGCTTTCAGATAGAAGTTGTCCGTATGTTGATATGAACCATGAGACAAAGATTTTACTAAACAGTTAATAACGTGGTAGCTATCCTTTTAAATTAAACATACTTATGCTTTGCTTTCTTGTTATTGTCAACAAATCTAATGAAAACATCAAAACCAACAATGAATTGATCCCTCTAACAGATTTTGTCTGTGTAGATCGTATTTCTTTGTGCCATAGATCTCCATTTTCCCCCCAAAACAACTTAGGCACTAAATGTGTATTAATCCACGACTGAAAATAGTCCCCCAACAACACGTTGAGTAACATTAGCTAAAAACTACAGTGCCTGGCTGCTTTTGGGAAATACTGATTGTTAAAGTTTTTTAGTCTTCAGCGTGAATAAACAGACACAGACAGAAAGTAGAGAGTGATGGGAAAAATTATTAGTTTTGGACTCTTCATAGAATTTGTTGACGATAAGAAAATGTCTAATATCTAATATCTCTAATATTAATAATGGACATTCCTATGTGATTATTTTATCCATAAACTGGATTGATTTTCCAGAAGCTCAATTAAATATGACATGATATCAATGTATATAAATTATACACAATAGATTTTGTGTTGATTTTAACCACATCGCCCACCCTTACGTTAAGATATGAAAACCTATTTTTTCACCAGTTTCCCTGTCGGATTAAATACTTTATGGTGCAGATAATCTAAGCTCAAAGGTCTACTTACTAATTATTTGGAACTCTCAACCTGATCTTAGTCTTCTTCAGTGAGTGGAGATGACATCAAGTGGCATCACGTAATCTAAATTTAAACTTTTGAGCATGTGATATCAAGTGGTTGCGTACAGTGGAGAGATTTTAACTCTGGTGTTGGTTTAAGGACATCCTCGGACTTCTAGTTGACGACTTTCACAGTCAGCTGAGTTTGTGTGTTTATGGTGTTCATTCAGCCTCCTGTCCTGGGTTCTTGTCTCACATTTAGGTCTTGTGATCACACCTGAACCAGATTTAATTGACTTTTCACTTGTTTTGTCTTACCAAGAGTCCAATCCTTATATATTCAATTTACAGTGTTAAAAAAAGTCTTCAAATCTTCACAGTTGTGAAGCTGCAACCACCAAATGTTTGACATTATTGGCTGATGAATGACATTAAAGCCTAATCAATTATCAAAAGTGTTGTCAATTAATTCACTAACTGATTTAACCACCATTGTTTCGGCAGCAAGCTGCTATACTGTATAGATACTGTATATACTGTATACAAACTGTATAGTCTCGACCGTGCTTGTTGAAAAAGCTGCAAGTTTAAAAACAATCACATAATCGTGACCATACATGAGAGAAAGTGTTTCTCAGCAGCTGAGCTAGTGATCAATGGGCAGTGGACTATTAGTGCAGTGCTTGTGTAGTTGACCTGCTCAGCTGTTGGGAGTATTTAAAGTCATGTGGTCTATAGGCACAATACACAGGGTGTGCAGGGCTGGGCCATATGGACGGAGAATAATAAATATATTCACCAGACCCTCTGATACTGATGAATGTTGTATGTGATAATGTCTGTTTAAGTTCAGAAAAGTCCACCACGTTTAACCGGAGTTGTTATTTTACAGCAACTCTCAAGTGTTTCAGAAACCATTCAGAAGAAATGTGACATTTGTCATTTTAGCTTGGAAAATAAACCACGTGTCATGTTTCACCATACAAAAAGAAAACTCCTACAAAACCGTTACGATTGACGACTAACTATAAATATTGGTATACTGCCCAGCCCTAGGGTGTGAAAACAGAATGAGAAGGATTACCATGTAACCCAGAATAAGTGACACCAGTAAAGAGTACGATCCAGTTACAGCTGTTCTACAGGGGCAGGATGTAGTTGGAGTTGGCCAGCTTGCGCTCCTGTGCGGCGGGAACAGTCTCTCTGTGACGCAGAGGTCTGTGGCAGTCGGGGTCCTGAAGTGGAGGGTAGTGCTGTCTGTAACACAACCAGGCGAAGGCGAGACCCAGCAGAGAACCCACTAATACATCTGCGTGAGGGAGAGAGAAGACAACACACACACACAAAGTTTAATTACACTCACATCTTCTGCTCATGTGTGAAGATTAAAATATTTCGGGAGAATATTAACCCTCAGACAGATTTTGGTTATGAGATACTCAAGAACCAGAAGCTGTTGTATTTCACTGGTTAACCCCCCAAAAAGCAACAGTTTAAATATTAAACAGCAGACAGACATAGTGAGGAATATATATTGTTTGTGGACTAAGGGGGACAACTTCCTCTGGATCACTTGGACTTCAAACAATGAGCTTTTGTATTTGATCTAGATTTCAAGTCAAGTTTTTAAATATTTATTCTAGCAATTTAAGTGTGGCCCTGGAACAGATCTGAAAATGCTTGACACAGGCCTGAGATAAACACATTTATTCAACATGAACGCACATTAAAAACATCATTCACCTACAGCTTAATGCTCACACAGGGCGAGGGGAGGCTGGGGAGGTGGAGAGTAGCAGTGAGGAGGCAGAACGCAGTGATTAGAGAGCGTGTGGAACATTGGACTATAACAGGACTTTCCTGACTGCCTGAAATACTGCAAAGATCCATAAATCTAAGAACAATGTGGACATAAAGCATGAAAACCCCACTTAGTTCTCATGCTTTGTCAGTGTGACCTCTCCAGCACTTGCAGTGATAAAATGGTTCCTGGTTACAGTGTTTGTACAGCTTCTTAGGAGAAAAAGTCAAGCTACATAAACCAAAACCTTCCAGACTCCCAAGTCAAT